TGGGATGCCTATTTTCCAGATGTTTGGACATTTAATTGTATCTAGTACTTCTCGCATATTATTCTCAAATTTTGGGGCCATTTTCTCAGTCTTCATGGTGGGTTTTTCTAGGCCAGCATTTTTATCTTCTTTAGAGATTCTATTTTCTGTATGATCTAGTCTGCTTTTAATACTTTCAAGGGAGATTTTGACTTCTTGTATTATAGCCTTCATCTCTAACAGTTCCATCTGATTCTTTTGTAAAGTGTGAAATTCCTCTTTTAGATCTTGCATGAATTTCCTCACCTCCTGGAACTCTTCAACTCCTTTCTCTTCCTCTTCAGCAGTTCCTTGTCTCTCTTCTCTTCCATCTCTGTTAGCTTTGCCATTATGAATGTTCTGAATTCTTTATCAGACATTTCCATGATTTCCATTGAACTGTGTGTGGATGAAGAGGAGCTATCCTTTTCCCTTGTGGGAGAGGTATTTTCCTGCTTCCCCAAATTTCTTGTGGTCCTGCAGCGATTTCTAGTCATCTGGTGGATGGTCGGTTTCTTTCCAAACTTGGAAGTTCAGTCACGTGAGTTTTGTATGCTGGAGGCCCAGTTATCAGGGGGGCATCTTCCTTTCTCCCAAAATGGCTAGATCGCAGGAGCCATGGAGCTGTCTGTCTCTTGAAGAAGGCCTTTTCTCGGCTTTACTTTTTCTATACCCTGAATACTTAGTGGTTACAGACCAATGTAAATAAAAAGATGTTATTTTAGCCAGACATTTATTCTATTCCGTATTCAAACAGCTGGTTCTTTAAAAAAAAATTATTATTGTTATTTTTTAATCTGACCAGAGATACAGAGAAAAAGAGAGGGAAAGTGAGAAAGCAAGTTGCTAGGTCTGGGACTCTAACTGTGGTCAGCCATCTGGGAGTCCAGTGTTCAAACACCATGCCACTTGTTGGCCCCTCAAATAGGTGGTTCTTAATTGGGAATACTAAATTATCTCCAGGGGAGAATGAGAAGTTCAAGAAAATGCTATACTGCTAGTTACTGTTATTAGTTAGGATTCTCTCCAAAATACATAATTCATGACTATTTTAGAATATTTCATTATTTTTTAGTATTTCATTCTTCCTCTAGCTTGTAAGATATACTTCTTGCTTCTAAATGTCAAGGTCACATTTTATTAAAGCAAATATTTTCTGTTTATTTAGGCACCGGATGTTGAATACAACGATCTATAGGCAAACAACTAAAAATCTTCTAACATTAAATATAAAAAGATTATGGAGTTGTACACTTTATTTCTGATGTCCACAATCTTACATAAGTAAGAATTGGCAGTAATTTAAGACCAGCCTTTCTATCACAATTTTATAATGTAATTATTTCTACCTAAAGATATTGGCAAATTTTATTGGTACTGGAATAGGTGCTGCCAAAACAAACAGACAGATAAAAACAAACAAAATCACAGTTAACAAATAGAACTGTTAGGACCAGCCATTAGCGTAATGGCTATGTCACTGAACTCCTATGTAGTGGACCACTGTTCGAGTCCCAGACCTGGTGGCTTAAACTCATGCCAGGCACATGTGCGTGTGTGCCCAAGATCCTGAGAGGAGAATGGAGGAGAAGGGATTGCGGTGTGGCCATCCCCCCTGGGAGGGTGACTTCTTACTTTCTATCTCTCTATCTCTCTCTGTCTTTCTGGCAAGCACACACGCCCCAAGCACACACCCCCTATAGCAAAAAAAAAAAAAAAACCCAAAAAACAAAACAAAACAAAACAAAACAAAAAAACAAAAAACCCAAAAAAACAAACTCTCAAAAAACAAAACCAAACAAAATAACAAATAGAACTGTTAAATCTTGCACACAGTAGGTGTTCAGTGTTGAGTAAAGGAATGAAATATAAGAAACTCAGTATTTTGCTATAAAGTGTAGACTAACAAACAGAATGAAAATAAACCCAATATTCTGTATTGTCTAATATGTGCACAAAAAGAAAAATAAGTGGATATGGTTTTAGCATAAGTAACATGCTCCTATACAACTACTGACTATGTATACCAGCCAGTAGTTTCAAAATCTGTTTTCTAAAAAATAACATTTGAGGGGGCCAGCAGGTGGCGTGATGGTTAAGGCACAGGACACTCCTACATGGTCAACCAAGGTTCGAGTCCTGGCCCTGGTAGCTTCCTTTCTCACGTTCCCTCTCTCTATATATATCTCTCTCTGGTCAAATTAAAATAAATGAATGAATAAATAAAATTATAAAAAAAAAACATTTGAAAAATAACATAGAAAGACTGTGCCAGAGCCAATGGTTAAGGGAGTTGGATCCCAGGTGGTTGACTGCATGGTTTGAATCCTGGCCCTGGCAGTTTAAAAAACACACTAGGTGCTTATGTGTGTATGCCCCAAAATTCTGATGGAGAAATGAAGAAGAGATTGCAGGATTACCATGCCCAACTGAGAGATGCTTTCTCTCCTTCTCTGTCTCTGTGTCTCTGGCAAGTGTATGCACCTTCAGGCAAATAATAGTAATAGAGACAAAGAATCTGGCCTTAAACTGGTATTAAAAGGAGTTTTTCTTTTTCTTTTTCTTCTTTTCTTTCTTTCTTTCTTTCTTTTCTTTTCTTTTTTTTTTTTTTTTGAGAAGTTTTTACTTTAGGGCATGTACGCTTACCAGAAAGACAGAGAGACAGAAAGCAAGAAATCACCCCCGAGTGGGGATGGCCATGCCCTATGGCCAATCCCTTCTCCTCCATTCTTAGGAGTTTTTCATATGATTTAAAGTTAATTACCCCAGTGCTCCTATCTTATTTAGGACATA